GAAATAAATATACTTTTTCATGATATTCTAATTTTATGACCAGCACCTGTATTTTGACTTAATTTGAGTCAAATTTTCAGGCTAACAAGACAAATAATCTTATACATTCTGAAAAAAAGATGATTATTCTTACACAATCAGTTCTTGTTCAGTAAATCAGTCGCAAAACAAGATCAAAAATACTTTTTGGCTGGATTTAAGATTTTAAAACTTGGCTAGGTGGACATTTTTTGCAGTGTATAAGACTATAGAAGAGTAAAGCGGAGAGGGTCTTCACCTACATGAAACATAACACCACGTTCCTGGTCTGAGGATTGCAGCTTCTCAAAACAAACATACACAAACATATTTATTTCAGAGGACATCAAACAATTTTTGTGGTTTATGCAGTTTGTTTCAGACCACTTCAACAAAAAAATGTTTGAGCAGTGGCGTCACTCGATTAACCCTGTAAAGTTTCCAGCATGTGACTCTGATGCCTGATCACTAAGAAGAGATTTTACTACTGTGGTTACGGTTCATAACAAAACAAAACACGGGGTTGTTGAAACTTGGTAAATGTGCAATACCGTGCTGAAGTCTTGAGCCACCCCTCATTTTTAAAATGTTGTTTCCAAGGAACCAGATTATTGTGTGTATAAGTGTGTGTCCTTTGTTTCAATGCCTTTTTAGGACCTCTTCTGGCATAATCACCAATCTTGTCAGCACCAGTAGTCTTTGTGGTAAATGAAAGACTGGTTCTAATACTATGGAATGCCATTTTTGGGTAAAGAATTAGGTTTAGGATTAAGGTATGAATAGAGTTTAGATTAGGGTAGGGCATGTAATGGTTAAGTTTATAAATGGTGTCAGGGTTAGGCTAAAAAAATGAGTGAAGATCAATACAATGGCCCACTGAGGATAGAAATATGAAGTTGGTTATGTATATGTTTTCATATTAGTCCCAAAGCAACAAAGTATCTAAAAATGCACAATTCAAAACAAGTTATTTAATAACATTTTTGTTAAATTTCAACAGAAATACTGTAAAGGCAAAATCCAAAGAAAACCTCTAAAGCCTATTTCACACTGAATTATTACTGCATCACATTATCATCATAATTATGGAGGTAAATTTGTGTTTTATTATTCAATCAAACAAAAAGCATCTTCAATCAAAAAAAATAATTTCAATCAAAAATATTTTTTTCAACCAAACAAAAA